AAAGGGTGCACGGGAATCACACACGCAAGAATAGGGTGTTAGCATTGGGCATCTCAACGCGCGTGATTCCCATGCACCCTTTACGAGTTGAGTTGATTGGTTCAACTGTGTCATATGGCCCATATTTTTCAGATATTGTAGTAAACGTCGGTACCTTAAATTACCTTCCAGACTATATGTGGTGTGAATAAAACAAATCTCTATGATATTTTCTATTACTTTTGGCCATAGACCGAAAGGGACTATAGCCTAGTCCCCTATTGTATAGGGGATTATTATCATAATATAACATTTATACTAAGTTTTCATGTAATAATTAGATCCACAGCAAGTACTTTTATAAGTTATGATGGTGTAACATTTATACAAAATTTTATATAATTATAGAACAACAAGTAATACATATTTGGAACCAGGAAAAATGCAAATACAAAATATTAGTCGTTTTGGATGCCCGGGATATATAAAAATTTTAGGATATTATGACATCCCTGTTTATGAGATTTGACCCAACTGAAGAACAATAGCATGACGTCACTGGAGGTCCATAAAAGCAGTGATCCTAACACTTTGACACGTGAAATTTATATGTTAATGTTTATTTTGCAGACAAGATTACAGGTACATGTAAGATTACCATGAAACAAGGTTGTGACTATAGACAGTGTTGAATCGCCGCAGACTGAGTAAAGCCATTGCTCCTGATTGTAAAATATGAGACACTGGTCTGCCCAGAATGAAGTGTGAAGGTTTTGATGGGTCTAGACTGTCATCACAGCCGCTTGTTTACATAGAGACACTTGAGTCGGATGGATGTGTGACAGGGAATACAGGCACTGAGTAACATAATAAATATGCATGCTTGTGACATTTGATCTGTAACTTAATGCATGCCTACCGTTGTGTAGGATTGAGTTTGAAACACTACTTGCTATGGTTCAAGCTGTGTACTTAAATATGCAGTAATTTAGATCCAATTGAAGAGCTACAAATATGATTCTACCATAAATTTGGAAATTACTCTATTCTGATTGGTCAATCAGAGCTATCAAATGACAATAAACCCCTTCTGATTGAAACAGCTGTGCTAATATTAGAAAGGATCTCCCTCTGGCAAGACACATCTTACCGAGGCAAGAGAGTTAACTGACTATAAAAGTCCACTTTCCACCCTTGCCGAACTAGGCTGGTACTATGGTGGTAAGATTTGGGCTGGACTAACGAGTTGATGCATACGGTAGTCCAATCAAAATCGCACACCGAAATTGAAATCCGGTTCTTAAACTGTAGGAGAGGCATAGAAGGGACATGACTCGATTGAGCCCAGGAATTCCAGCCTAGTTCAGCAAGGGTGGAAACTGGACTTTTAAAGTCAGTTAACTCTCTTGCCTTGGGAAGATGGGCAAGATATGGAAATTTGGATATTGCGTAAAAAGCAAAACCTGTTTACAATATCCAAAGAAATGGTTCTCTTTGGTTATTTATCGAAAAATAACAATCCTTTTAACCTTATTATTTTGTCAAGACGAATCATTTTCATGTTTAGAAATAATAACTATCCACCAACAATTTATACAGAAAGAGCTCACTGAATTTTATAAGTCATACGTTATTTATTGTAACAGAAATAACTTCAATAAGTTTTGGTCAAGCTGTCATGCTTTATTTCTGTGAATATATCGTCATGCAAAACCATGTAAATGCTCTAGAAAAATAAACAAATTATAAAAAAAAGTGTACTATAATAGTACTTCTCATCTTCCCGAGGGACTTGACCAATCAGATTCCACCTCTCATATTCCTTCCATTTGCTTCAAACAAAATGTTGGCGCCCAGTTAAGACGATATGAGAGATAATCAAAATTGTTACACGATTTTGATTGGACTATGCACAGATTGTTTGTCCAGCCAAAATATAACTCCATAATCCCAGCCTAGTTCAGCAAGGGTGTAAACTGGGCTTTTATAGTCAGTTAATTCCCTTGCCACAGGAAGATGAGTACTTCTGTTGCAGTCATTGTTGGTTGGCATATTTAATTAATCATGTGTACAAGTATAGGCTACAAAATGCAAAGTTTGGTTACTACAATATTCAAAGCATCTGTGGCAATACATTTTTGTACAGAAAACACGATAGAAATCTATGAAAATAAATTTTATTTATACTTTTACAAAGAGAACTGGCTATTTGGCTTATGCGGTGCAATTAGTGAAATGACGTCACAATATTGACGTCTGGTGTAGAACGAAACTGTTGCAAGGCTTGCTTAGTTTTCCCAACTCATGTTCGCTTACGAAGTTGCTGTGCGACATGCTTTTGGTGCCTGTCATTAGTTTGTGTGAAGTATTATGGTGTTGAGCATATACAGGCTGTTGTCGGTGATTCTGTAAATTCTGATCGACAACCTAATCAAAACACTGGACTCAACCCACGTCTCTTCACTCAGTATATTTGTTAGCAAGTGAGTGAGTGAGTTTACTTTTGCGCCGATTTTAGCAATATTCCAGCAATATCACAACGGGGGACACCAGAAATGGGCTTCACATTGTACCCATGTTGGGAATCGAACCCGGGTCTTCGGTGTGATGAGCCAAAGCTTTAACCACTAGGCTACCCGACCGCCCCTGCCAGCACCAAAGACGGGTCACGTTTTATTTAGTCCTGGTAGAATGGAGATAAACATGCTGTGTTTTCAGTGTGGAGCTAGGTTACCTGTAGATTTAACCGTGCTAAATTCAACATGTGACACCTCATGCTGCGTGTTCGGTTCCATGAAATAATCATGAATAACTTATGCAGCCATTGTGATGTGAGGTAACTTGGTCAGACACAATACTGAGTTGCATTCCAGCATATTAATTGATCACAGGCAGCATTATGAATTCATTATCAACTTCATCTAAATATTCCATGGAGGCAAAGATGAGAGAAATAATTAGGATAACTATTCTTTGTACTGGCAAGACTGAAGATGCACTGGACAACAGTGTTGAATGGGTTCTACTGTAGATGCACGAATATGGACAATGATGTTGAATGGGTTCGACTGTAGATACACAAAAATGGACAAGTGTTGAATGGGTACGACTGTAGATGCAGGACTATATGGACAACAGAGTTGAATGGGTTCGTCTGTAGATACACAAATATGGACAAGTGTTGAATGGGTACGACTGTAGATGCAGGACTATGGACAACAGTGTTGAATGGGTTCGACTGTAGATACACGACTATATGGACAACAGTGTTGAATGGGTTTGACTGTAGATGCACGAATATGGACAATAGTGTTGAATGGGTTCGACTGTAGATACACAAAAATGGACAAGTGTTGAATGGGTACGACTGTAGATGCAGGACTATATGGACAACAGAGTTGAATGGGTTCGTCTGTAGATACACAAATATGGACAAGTGTTGAATGGGTACGACTGTAGATGCAGGACTATGGACAACAGTGTTGAATGGGTTCGACTGTAGATACAGGACTATATGGACAACAGTGTTGAATGGGTTCGACTGTAGATACACAAAAATGGACAAGTGTTGAATGGGTACGACTGTAGATGCACAACTATATGGACAACAGTGTGGAATGGGTTCGACTGTAGATGCACGAATATGGACAAGTGTTGAATGGGTTCAACTGTAGATGCACGACTATGGACAACAGTGTTGAATGGGTTCGACTGTAGATGCAGGACTGTGGACAACAGTGTTGAATGGGTTCGACTGTAGATGCACGAATATGGACAACAGTGTTAAATGGGTTCGACTGAAGATGCACAAATATGGACAACAGTGTTAAATGGGTTCGACTGTAGATGCACGAATATGGACAACAGTGTTAAATGGGTTCGACTGAAGATGCACAAATATGGACAACAGTGTTAAATGGGTTCGACTGTAGATGCACAAATCTGAACAACAGTGTTGAATGGGTTTGACTGTAGATGCACAAATATGGACAACAGTGTTGAATGGGTTCGACTGTAGGTGCACGACTATGGACAACAGTGTTGAATGGGTTCGACTGTAGATGCACAAATATGGACAACAGTGTTAAATGGGTTCAACTGTAGATGCATGACTATGGACAACGGTGTTGAATGGGTTTGACTGTAGATGCACGACTGTGGACAACAGTGTTGAATGGGTTCGACTGTAGATGCACGACTATAGACAACAGTGTTGAATGGGTTCAACTGTAGATGCACGAATTTGGACATTAGTGTTGAATGGGTTTGACTGTAGATGCACAAATATGGACAACGGTGTTGAATGGGTTCAGCTGTAAATGAACAAGTAAGGTATTGAATGTTGTTGTGGATAAAACTGTCAGCAGTTTGATGTCATAATGTTGCCGTAAAATCTGTTCAGTATTATATTGCTGATAAGTTGAACAGGATTTATCTAGATCTGCTTAGAGGAAGATATTCAGCCCCAATGACGAATGTAGTCTTTTGCCACAGCGACATGGGAGAAAGGGTGTGAAATTAACAACTAAATATTTACTTACATCAGTACCAATTGCTTATCCCTTTATGAACTGCGAAATGTGTATTATGCAATTTTTATACAGTATGTTACTCTAGGCATTCTAGTATTTGTACAGTACTTGTGAACGAACAGACAGAAAAGAAATTACTATTATCTTGATCAGGGCTGTATTTGCTCATAATAGGCCCATCAACATGGCAAGTAATATTTAGTTGATTGATAAATGTGCTCGAGTTGGTCCAAAATGAATGGTATACTTGCTCCGGGACATGCATTTCATAACCCACATCGGCAAAGTGCGAGGTGCACGTGCGAAACACAGTGTTCTCACAGTTGAGCATAGAGTTCCTGAATATCTTTCAAAATACCTTTAACATTATCCCTTAGGGATCTAACTGTCAAATGTTAAAAGTTAGATCCCTGCTTGGAGGGACCTAATTTATTCTTAATGGCTGACCAAACAAAAACATGCCTGATTTATGTCTTTCTATTTTTTCAGGAACATGCTTAAGAAGATCATGTTGGTGTCTAAAAGGTAAAGAAAAAATTGTAACCTATTGTATATATTGTAGTAGGTAGTAGGTAGGTTTGTTGTTTAACGCCGCACGCAGCAATATTCCAGCTATATGATGGCGGTCTGTAAATAATCGAGTCTGGACCAGACAATCCATTGATTGATATTGTGAGCATCAATCCATGCAATTGGGATACGATGACATGCATCAACCAAGTCAGCAAGCCTAACCACCCGATCCAGTTAGTCGCCTCTTACGACAAGCATAGTCGCCTTTTACGGCAAGCATGGGTTATTGAAGACCTATTCTACCCCGGATCTTCACGTATATATTGTAATGACACTTATGTGGTGACCTAAGGGTCAGAAAGTCATGCACTGTGTTGTCCATGAGATGAAGTGTCCAAACTAAAAACGCCCATTGAAGATCAAGGTTACTTGTAAGAGGCGACTATGCTTGTCGTAATAGGTGACTATTCTTGTTGTAAGAGGCGACTATGCTTGTAAGAGGCGATTCTTCTTGTCGTTAGAGGCGACTATGCTTGTAAGAGGCGACTATTCTTGTCGTAAGAGGCAACTATACTTGTCGTAAGAGGCAACTATGCTTGTAAGAGGCAACTATACTTGTCGTACAAGACCACTTACAGGATCCTATTTGCGTGGATTGATGCTCATGATGGTCCAGACTTTATTATTTACAGATAATTTACTTTTGCTGTGTGTGGCCTCCTATTTATTGGTACTGTTATCTGTGAAACAACTGGTTACCTGTAATTAGATATTAGTTATATATATAACATGAATTGGGAAATCTTTAATTTGGGAATTCCAATTTGAGAAGAATAATATATCAAAAGATTTCAGCTCATTGAAGCAACTGGCATCTTCCCGATGCAAGAGCGTCCACTATCCTTTTTATCAAAGTCTTGTTTCCACCCTTGCCACATCAAGCCCACTTTCCTGTGCTAAATATGATTGAGTGAGTGAGTTAAAATTTAACATCAGCATTATTCCAGCCATATAGCGACCTAAATATGATTGGACTATCGCACATATCGATAGTCAAATCAGAGAACTTTTCACAAAATCAACATCCACGACTGGTACATTTTTGTATGAAAGTGATTTAATGATGGAATATGTCTTTTTCATCCTTTAAACACCCCAACGATTGCCTATGTTGTTCGGTCAGGGATGAAATCGTGAATATTTTTGCTTTCCAATCGACTTGGTCATCGCCTAAGGTAGTTGCCATCTTTGTGAAGCTATACGAGATAAGAACAGCGATCTGATTGGATGTCGCGTTTTCATTCCAAGGGACACAACTCGTGATCTACAAGAGGTGGCACCAGGGTCGAGGCAAGAAAAGTGGCCTTGATGTGGCAAGGGTAGAAACTAGGCTTTGATATAGGCTAGTGGACACGCTTGCCTCAGGAAGATGTAGAAACTAGGCTTTGATATAGGCTAGTGGACACGCTTGCCTCGGGAAGATGTAGAAACTAGGCTTTGATATAGGCTAGTGGACACGCTTGTCTCGGGAAGATGTAGAAACTAGGCTTTGATATAGGCCAGTGGACACGCTTGCCTCGGGAAGATGTAGAAACTAGGCTTTGATATAGGCTAGTGGACACGCTTGCCTCGGGAAGATGTAGAAACTAGGCTTTGATATAGGCCAGTGGACACGCTTGCCTCGGGAAGATGTAGAAACTAGGCTTTGATATAGGCTAGTGGACACGCTTGTCTCGGGAAGATGTAGAAACTAGGCTTTGATATAGGCCAGTGGACACGCTTGCCTCGGGAAGATGTAGAAACTAGGCTTTGATATAGGCTAGTGGACACGCTTGCCTCGGGAAGATGTAGAAACTAGACTTTGATATAGGCTAGTGGACACGCTTGCCTCGGGAAGATGTAGAAACTAGGCTTTGATATAGGCTAGTGGACACGCTTGCCTCGGGAAGATGTAGAAACTAGACTTTGATATAGGCTAGTGGACACGCTTGCCTCGGGAAGATGTAGAAACTAGACTTTGATATAGGCTAGTGGACACGCTTGCCTCGGGAAGATGTAGAAACTAGGCTTTGATATAGGCTAGTGGACACGCTTGCCTCGGGAAGATGTAGAAACTAGGCTTTGATATAGGCCAGTGGACACGCTTGCCTCGGGAAGATGAACAATAAGTGGTGATAAGTTTGTGAAGGTCTTCTCTTGATGGATATACAATATATGACTGTGGTACATACTGTTTAATAGATGGACCAATAAGTGTAACGTGATGAAGATTTAATTATTTGATATGCATTACCGTATTCGACGTAATAAGCACCAAGAGTGCTCTTAGAATTAGTTGAAAGATCGTGAATTTCGTGGTTTATTCTGACAGCATGAATGATTGAGAAGAAAAATCTGTGCGTATTATACACAAAAAATATATTTTTCCAGAATTTAATTGCCCATAATTAAGGGTGCATATAACACACGAGTGCATATTATACACAAATAAATAAGTTTTGTGTTCATTGATCAATTGGAAGGGGTGCTTTTGGGATTGTCAATTAGCCAATATATCAGCAAATATCGCTGTGGGCTGTTATTAGTGCGGGGAGCTTATTACGTCGAATACGGTAAATGGAGTTTGTTATCGCCTGTGTCTGTGACACTGATGTCTTCCACTCTGTTGTATATCATTCGTTGTGTATCATTCGTATACAACTTGCCAGCCCTCTAAGTTGTTGCGCTGTTACCTGGCTCCCTACATGAATATTGTAGTAGCCAAAGTTTTTAGGAGCCAACTTTTTTTCCAAGGAGCCCTATTCCTGATATAGGACACATGTTCACAGGGGTTTCATTGTGTGAAGTCTGGTATTCAGTTGTAACAGACAGGTTTATTCAGTAATAATGTAAATATTTCCTTTTGGTACAATATCACTTAAGGGACCGACCATGTGGTGTTTGAAGTTTGGTTTGGTTGGTTTGTTGTTTAACGCCGCACTCAGCAATATTCCAGCTATATGACGGCGGTCTATAAATAATCGAGTCTGGACCAGACAATCCAGTGATTGATATCATGAGCATAGATCCATGCAATTGGGATTGATGACATGCTTCAACCAAGTCAGCGATCCACCACCCAATTCCGTTAGTCGCCTCTTACGACAAGCTTAGTCGCCTTATACGGCAAGCATGGGTTGCTGAAGACCTATATTAATCCGGAACTTCATGGGTGTGTTTAAGTGGGGGTGGGGTGTTGTATTAACTGTAAATAAATATCATGACATGAAACATTTATGACCACCTCCGTGGACCACTGGTAGAGCGTCTGCCTGGAGAGCAGAAGGTCTGGGGTTTGATCCCCAGCCGCGACATACCATAAGACGTTAAAAGATGGTACTTGTTGTTACCCTGTCTGGCGCTTGGCATTAAGGGGCGAAAACAAGGACTGGTCAGCTCGGAGTCAGTGTACTGTGTCTGAGTGGGGTATTCATGTTAAACTGCAGCATGGTATCTCATTAGGCTAGCACTATAATTCAGCATCAGTCCAAACTAAAACAAGCAGCCACACACACACACACACACACACACACACACACACGTGCATGCACTTCCCTATATATATGCAATAATCTTGGATGTGACGTTATTCGCCCATTTCACCTCACCTGAAACATTTATAACCAGTTATGAAACAACAATTGGCCTTGCAAACCCAAGGTAGCAAACAGGATTTATGATTACTATGTATTCATATCTTAACCTTATATTGTAAGCAGTTATGTTTACTTCAGATACCCAAGTGGCGGGCAGTAGATAAATTTAGGTCACCAGTCATTTTTTAAGTCGCATTGACGACTAAAATGGTCTGTAGTTAGAGGGCTGACCTAAATGCTCTGACACAATGAAATAGGGTTGGGACGGGTAACCCTGATTAACTTGGGTACTCTTGTCAGGTGGTTCCTGAGTAGGACCTGGGTACCACAGGACCTCCCAGACCCATAAGTCACGTGATATATTGTTTAATGACAAAAACTTACTATAGCTCAGCAGTTACACTACAAGTCGCTAAACCAAAACACATATGCACGCACGTGGCCATATTAATCTTGATGGCGACGCTAAACCCTATTTCGCCTCACAAGATAAAGCTTCCACTGATAGGCTAGTCTATCACCCACATGTTCCCAGAGCATTGGGTGTGCTGTTGAATACCTGAGAAGTCCACAACAATTATTTATCTGACCATGTACAAATAGACAACAGCCTTATAGACAGTTGGTACAGTGTGTCATGTGATATGATCGACCGTAGTGAATAGACGATTTAACCTTCGGTATCTGTCTGTATCAGTATCCAGTGTCCAGGGCAAGGTTCAACTCGATTAAGTTCGTATGCTAGACTAACATTTAGTCTCAGAATTAAAGTTATCTTATTTAAAAATATATATCTCTAAAATAAAAAATATGCTCCAAATGTATAGTCCAAGAGATGGGAGTGATTTTTTTCATGTTAGTGGTCCATACAAATAAATGCTTGTTTCTAAGACAAAAAAGAGGGAATTTCCTGAAATGGCTAAGAATCTGATGGTCTTATTCACTAAGGGGGTGCTGAAGTCATCACAGCACTTTTTAAGCTTTATCCTTCTGACCTGTGAAGATCCAGGTTACAATAGGTCCTAAGCAACCCATGACTGCCGTAAAAGGCGGCTATGCTTGTTGTAAGAGGCAACTAACTGGATCGGGTGGTCAGGCTCGCTGACTTGGTTGATGCATGTCATCGTATCTCAATTGTGTGGATCGATGTCAATCACTGGATTGTCTGGTTCATACTTGATTATTTAAGACCACCGTCATATAGCTGTTATATCTCTGAGTGCGGCGTTAAACAACTAACAAACGTTATACTTCTTAGGTAAATATATGTTTTCATCAAAACTAATAAATTTTTCTTATATAATATATATAATAATATAATATAATAATAAATATTTGGTGTCAAAATAAAGAAAATACAACAAGCTACACAGTCATACTTAAAAAGTAAGTGTTCTGAAAAAATACTTTTTTGGCAACTCAATTTAACTTCTTTTTTTTTTTATAAACAAGTCACAAAAATTATCAATATTGACACATCCCCTTACTTCACATTAAAACAAACAAACATTGCATAAATAATATTTTCTCTAACAGAAATGTGTTTGAAAATAAGATGGTCTTTTTCTGATGTTCCATTAAAAGTAATTAAAAAGTTAGTGACCAAGGGAATATTTTATGTGATGACACAAGGGAGATAACTCTTTGAAGGGGTGTTCATAAATTTTGTCATTTGGAATATTAATCAGCATATATGCACCTAAGATAAGAATCTTCAGTAAATAGGTTATCAGTTACCATGGGTTCTGTTAAAAGAAAAAAACATTTCTAAATAAATTTCAGTCAAAGGTGGTATTTTACTGCAGCTTCAATTAACAAATATTACCCATTAGGGTAACTTATAGCACTAGCATTGAGAGGTTTCATATCTTATTGGCCTACAAATTACATATTCATGACACATATAACTATCTTTTGAGTTTCTTGTAGTGAATTGAAATGACCGCATTATTGTAAGTACTTCAGATATATTTCCACTGTCCAAATCTGCATATCTAGAAGCCACAAATCAAACAGTAACTGACCTATTTGATTGTTGCCTGTTGTAAAAGTCATGATCTTGTTCAGTGTGACACAAATTGCTATTTTAGCTATTTACTGTCTTCATTTGTTCTAGGGGCGGTGGGGTAGCCTAGTGGTTAAAGCGTTTGCTCAATACACCAAAGCCTTGTGTTCGATTCCCCATTTGGGTACAATGTGTGAAGCCCATTTCTGGTGTCCCCAGTCATGATATTGCTGAAATATTGCAGAGAGCGGCGTAAAACTGTACTCACTCACTCACTCTAGAGGGCTGCGGGGTAGCCTAGTGGTTAAAGGGTTCACTTGTCACGCCGAAGGCCTGTGTTCGATTCCTGACATGGGTGCAATGTGTGAAGCCCATTTCTGGTGTCCCCGTCATGATATTGCTGGAATATTGCTACAAGCGGCTTGAAACCATACTCACTCACTCATTTCCTTAAAGCATAGTCTTTCCTCCAACATGAAGCTGACACGCCTTGATATAACTGGAATACTGTTCAAAGCAGAATTGCGTCCCCCACTCACTGACTGACTAAAATGAATGTCCAGCTCACATCTTCATGGTACGACAAACATTTATGAAATGACTTCCACTTTGTGTGAGTTCATTGGAATATGAACCTTCATAGAGTGAGGGCCAAAGTGTACGAACATCAGCAATAAAATGGGTTGTAGCATGGGTATCCTTGAATGGGCATGCTATCAAACTCTCTGACTTATCCCAATGTATGCTCAAACGCTAAGTTCAAGATTAAAGGGTCTAAATGACGAGAAACAACGCTTCTGTATTTATTTGAGCAAGGGTTTCCTCAGGAATGTGTAAGTAGTCCGTCAGTGTTTACGTCTCATGCAAAATGTCTGAACGTCAAAATGTGTCAGTCATACACTTATGAACTTCAGTTTTGCAGTCATATGACCGTCCTCTCGTCCATTGGAAAAAACGTCTATTGTGTAATCTTCAAATTTAAAAATTATACCACATTAATCTTCTTCGTCAGTGTCTGTGTCACTTTCACTGTCTGAACTGTCAAATCAGCATTTATTATATCTGAATCATCACTGATGGTCGCAAGTTGCTTGATGATGTGGCTTGGCATTTGATCACCGTGAGAGCTAGAGATAAGCTGCATATTTGCTTAAAATACGCATTTGATAAAAAACTGAAATACGCACACAAATAAAATCCTTGTGTATCAAATATGCAGCAAAAACTGTAAATACGCTATTAAAATAAAATTGATGCATATATTACAACTATTAGATGAAACGATTGCGTATATTACAACTGCCAGATAACATGATTGTGTAATGGCCAATCGCGAAATTCTCTTACCGACAGTTACATTCGGAAAAGCTTGTGCGACAAACATACTGTTAGATGCCAATTGAAAAGCACATCATGCCTAGTCAATGTACATGTTGTATCTTAAACAGTCGCTGATTGGTGATTAAAAGAAAATGCCGACGCAGATGGATTTACCACAATTCACATAGTTTAAATGATTTAAGGGGATTGTTACAAAACAGGTTTTAAGTTCAAATACCCAGATGTCAAGAAACAGGTGGGTACAAAATATTTGAAAACTCTCTAAAAATTATGGATACCCAATAACAATGAAAATTCCTGGGTAAAATACCCAAATAAGCAAAAGCATATCTGGAGCTCTGACAATCAAACCAAACAATTGGGTAGGTTCTGTCCACTAAAGTACTCACGGAAATGAAAAAAACCCTGTTTTTTCGATCTCAGATTTTAAATAAATGCAGTTAATATACAAAATATATAAATCTTCAAACAACTCAATTAGTACTAATTGGGCCTTGGCACAAATACAGCTTATCAAAGGTTTTTATGTCTTTTTATACGTAAAAGTGTGTAAAAATATGAACAAAACAGACTATTGTGAAACTGAGCATAACCAGGTGTTAGTAGATCAAGGTGAATGTCCATGACCTATGACACCTTGACGACAGGTGAAAACAGGTGCTTGAAACCCATGTGCATGTGATTTGTCAGTAGTTCGTGATTTGTGAGTGGCATTGTGGGATAGTGAATCATCGTCAAAATATCAGAACGTAAAAGTAACATATTCCCTTCTCAAACAACAACTTACATGTCATTATTATTATGTACATAAACATAGCTGTTATTTTTATTGTTGTTTTGATAACTTTTTTCCAGCCTAATTTGCATAATGCCTATAGCCTGTTTCTGCCATGTCAATTTGGACTTAGTTTTATTTTTAAATGTTGAAAGTGCCTACAAATTACCTCCTGTAAAGTACATTTTGTATTGAGCACTGAGATAAAACTAGCAAATCCATACTAGTACTTTTCCAGTTGTTTTGTTATTTCGTAGTTACATCTACGTAATGCTTTGTGTCGATTATTAAATCCAGCAAAACAGTTCTTTTTCATTTCCATGAGTACTTTAATTTCCAGCCATGTCCTTTAGGTTCATATTGAACAGGAGTCATTGGTGTGTTAGCATTTCTTCAAACACTTGATGCAAAGTTGGGGGCGGTTGGGTAGCCAAATGGGTAAAGCATTCGCTCATCACGCCGAAGACCCAGGTTTGATTCCCGACATGGGTACACTTGATACAAAGTTTGTTCGTTTGATCTTTTCCACTAATGTTCCCTGGTGGAACTCTGTCAGGTGGAGCAGTATTTGTTGTGTAGGAGCACACTTCAGTTTAAGGATACCAGGGGGCACGCGTGGCCCAGTCGTCTAAGGCGCAGCGATCCGCTGTGCAGAGTTCCGTCCCTGGGGCACAACAGAAACCTATGATTGTGGGTTTGAATCCCGGTTCACCCCGATTATGTTTCTAGGTTTGTCAGCACCATACCCGTGCTCGTGTGTTTCACTGAAGTGGTAAATGCCTGAGACCTGCATCTCTTGGGGCTTTCCTCCCACATTAAGCTGTGATATAACTGGAATACTGTTAAAAGCGGTGTTAAACCCAACTCACTCACTCAATTAAGGATATCAACTCGAACATGATTTATGTTTGTCGTTTCCTGTCTGGAACAGAAGGCACACACAAACCAGAAGCCAAGAACTATTCTTAATTTCAGGCCTGAGGCAATCTACCGGTATACAGATCATTCTTGTGGTGAACTAGTGCCTTTTGAAGATTTGGGTGTTTTTTAAAATCTTTTTTTGTTTCATGAGGGTGGGGCTCGTTTTTGGAGCAGAACTCCGAAACCATTGAATATTTCTTTATGAATCTTACAGATGAGTCTAGTGGTGAGCTGGTGCCTTCAGATGATTTGGGAAACCGTATTCGACGAATTAAGCTGCCAGGGCGCTCTCAAAATTAGAAATAGGGGGTCTTATTAGAATATTATTTTGGTGGAAAAAACAGAGTTGAAAGATAAATTTCGTGGTTTATGCTGATGGCCTGAACTGTTTATATACAACAGATATATTTTTCCAGAATTTAATTGCCCATAATTAAGGGTGAATATAACACACGAATGCGTATTATACACGAATAAATAAGTCTTGTGTACTTTGATCAATCAGAAGAGGTGCTAATTGGGATTGTTCACTTTTCAATATATTAGCAAATATCGCCGTGGAGGCTTATTATAGCGGGGCGCTTATTACGTCGAATACGGTATATATTTTTTTATCAATTTTTGTTTCAATTACGACAAATTTGACTTGACTGAAAATGAGGGCAGAGCTCATTTCTGGAGCAATCTAGACTTGGCAAATCATACTAGACTCCTTCATCTTATTGTGTGGCGTTGATATTCCAGTAATGACAATGTTCTTCCTGCAGGAGGCTTGGTGTCAACAAGCGCTTGAGACTATTTCTGCTCCTGTCCTGTGTTCCCACCCTGGCATTCTTCTTGTACGGCCATGACGTTCGTGAGTATGACAGGCAATAACACTGACTACAAAGGATCATTTTTTTATACATTTTTCTGATAATGGTGTTTGTTATCATATAAATGATATCTGTCAGCAGGGTATATGACATTTATATGTTATCTGTCAGCGGGGTATATGACATTTATGTGTAATCTGTCAGCGGGGTAAATGACATTTTATGTTATCTGTCAGCAGGGTAAATGACATTTTATGTTATCTGTCAGCGGGGTAAATGACATTTGTTTGTTATCTGTCAGCAGGGTAAATGACATTTGTTTGTTATCTGTCAGCAGGGTAAATGAGATTTGTATGTTATCTGTCAGCGCGGTATATGACATTTGTTTGTTATCTGTCAGCAGGGTATATGACATTTGTTTGTTATCTGTCAGCAGGGTATATGACATTTGTTTGTTACTGATTTGTTTGTATGTTATCTGTCAGCGGGGTAAATGAGATTTGTATGTTATCTGTCAGCGGGGTATATGACATTTGTTTGTTATCTGTCAGCAGGGTATATGACATTTATGTGTTATCTGTCAGCAGGGTATATGACATTTATTTGTTATCTGTCAGCAGGGTATATGACATTTGTTTGTTATCTGTCAGCAGGGTATATGACATTTGTATGTTATCTGTCAGCGAGGTATATGACATTTGTTTGTTATCTGTCAGCAGGGTATATGGCATTTATGTTATCTGTCAGCAGGGCATATAATTTGTATGTTATCTGTCAGTGGGGTATATGATTTGTATGTTATCTGTCAGTGGGGTATATGATTTGTATGTTATCTGTCAGCGAGGTACATGGGACTATTTTTCAATCAGTAACCAATCAGAATCAAGTATCTTAGTGCAAGGTGAGATAAAGCTAGTTCAGGCTTATTTAAGGATTGACTATGTATTTTTTCCAGCTCATTGAGGTATGAGTCAAAAACCTGCTATGCGGATTCTTATAAAAGTTTGCACATCGCTTTTTCGATTCATACCTCAAGGAACAGAAAAAAATACACAGTCAATGCTAATGATTAAATTCAACAACGTCAAACATGTTTTATCTACAATAGTTCTACCAAAAACAGTTGTATATATCAAAACAGACAAAAGTGACGAGATTGATAAACATTCCAGGTGTAGGAATACATACTGTGGCGTGACATGAATCAGGTGATCGTTTAATTTATGCACATAACTTGACATGCCTACACAGTCAGTAGCCAATCAACGAAGAGTAGGATCAAAACAATGTCCATAGGAACTGTCAATTAAGGCAAGAGGTGAGAAGAACTGCAACAGTCAGACTGTAATGAACCGGAAGAAATATGTCCGGGAGAAGGTGGCTGTCTCAAATGACCTGGTCAGTTACCGCCAGATTCAAACATTACTTCCCTGAAAATGGGAAAACACAGTTGGAAAAATGCTAGTTAGAAATGAAACCCGAAGACATGAAAGTTGAACCGAGGCGAGTGGGAAAAAAACAGGCGAGTGAGTCTGCACGTTTGCTGTTTCATTCATTCTCGACCTTCGGTTTCAAAGGGTAGTTTGGACAATGAATATGCATGAATTTTGCTAAATGTCCTGTGCATGACAATACACGTGGGCAGAAGGGGAATTCCCGACATTCCGCTGTAATAAAAGAAGTGCGCCTTGGTGGACGTGGCTTAATTTTTTACATTCATTGGGAAAAGAGTGCAATAACACGTGACCAATTCAGCTAATCAGAATGCAGGAATTTCAATGAACACAACAAAAATTTAATTATTCTTTCATAACATCTTTTGCTGTTCAAAGATTTTTTTTTCTCTTACAGTGATATTTTTGGGCCTGAGGGTCCGCGACACAGCCGGTATAACATGGAAGGACTCGTCAATGAGGAACAGTAAGTACCCTGAGCTTGCTCGTCTGGCGTTTTCCTCACTTGTGAGAATCCATGTCACTATAAATACAATGATCTTGAATGTGTCGTTAAACAACATTTCACCTCGCCTCACCTCACTATTAATATAGGACTCAAAGTAAAGTACTTCACCTTTTAAGTGTGATCCCAAATATAACATTTGGTACATTTGACAACTTTCTGAAATGAACTGTGCGTTCATTTAACGTTCCATTAGTCTTTCCCTTCATGTCAAGCACCGGTTCAGCCTTCAGCGTCTACATTCAACAACTTTTAAGGATGGACCTCTGTGAGCTTTAAAGGATCGATCCACTCCATCAGGTCTTAAGGCATTGTGTTTCTGCCAAAGCTGAGCATCTACAAACAATGTGTTGGACACTCTCATTACATTTATTGCATAATCTACATTTCATGTGTACCATGAAAATCTGCGGTGGAATAGGTCTTCAGCAACCCATGCTTGCCGTAAAAGGCGACTATGCTTGTCTTAAGAGGCGACTCACGGGATCGGGTGATCAGGCTCGCTGACTTGGTTGATGCATGTCATCGGTCCCAATTGAGTGGATCGATGCTCATGATATCAATCACTGGATTGTCTGGTCCAGACTCGATTATTTACAGACCTCCGTCATATAGCTGGAATATTGCTGAGTGCGGCGTTAAACGACAAACAAGCAAGAAAACAATTGGTGAATCTGTCTAGAATATATTATGATTATTTACAAGCCGCCTCATTGTGGTGATAGCAAGAAGTAGATGCAAATGTTTCATGATGCTTCATGTGGTTTCCTTGCAGTTTTGGTAAATGACACAGTTTCCAAAGACTTGCAGAAACGAGTTCGTATTCTATGTGTTGTGCCTACCACTGTGAAGAACGAAGATACCAAAGTGTATGCAGTGAATGCGACATGGGGATCGCGATGCAACAAAATACTGTTCGTGTTTGTTTACCACCATTCAAGGTTCCATCATATATCACTCAACATCTCGGATGGTCGTTCGCACCTGACTGCCAAAACCATGCAAGCATATAAAGCAGTGTACAAGCAATACGGGGACTCTTACGACTGGATTCTTAAAGCGGACGACGACAGCTTTATTATCATGGAAAACCTACGTTTTCTGTTATCCAAATTTGACCCAAACGATGCAGCGTACATCGGATACCATTTCAAGGTGCTTGCTCACAATGGCTACATGAGTGGCGGTGGTAGTTATGTGATCAGCAAGGCTGCATTGCGATTGGTCGCTGAGAAAGGTTTCAGTGGGGGATGCGCTACCGACGGTAATGATGAAGATGTGGATGTCGGACGCTGTATGGAAAAGTTGGGCATTAAAGCCTACGTTTCATATGACAAGTTTGGCAGAGACACCTTTCATCCTCAAAGTATTGAACAGCACCTGATCGGCCCGTTACCTTGGTATCTAAAGGACTATCCTGCATCACCAATTCAAGCAGTAAGCGTGGACCTGATTTGACAGTAATTTAAGACATACCCTATTCGACGTAATTAGCGCCCTGCTATAATAAGAGCCCACAGCGATATTTGCTAATATATTGAAAAGTGAACAATCCCGATTAGCACCCCTTCCGATTGATCAATGTACACAAGACTTATTTATTCATACATAATACGCACTCGTGTGTTATATGCACCCTTAATTATGGGCAATTAAATTCTGGAAAAATATATCTGTCATATATAAAAATTTCAGGCTGTCAGCATAAACCACGAAATTTACATTCACCATTTACCAAAATGAAATTCTAATAAGAGCCCCCTATTTCTAATTTTGAGTTGCGCCCTGGGCACTTGTTACGTCAAATACGGTGTTAGAATATATTGATGGTTTCTCGGCGTTAGAAATTGGCACTAGTCCCATAGTCATTGCCAAACTGCCCAATAGTTAAGGTATCCTAAGCACTGGTAGAAATTTTGAATTTTTATGGGTTTTGCTATATGTTATCATTGTAAGGACCAGTGGACTAAAAATGTTAGTTTCTACTGCTGTTTCTATAAGTTATTGAATGCATTGTTGCTTTAGAATTAACTTCAATATTTAATCATTAACACAAAAAGCACTGAAGACGATGGTACACAATCTGTAACATCAATCATTGCAATAATACAACAAAAGCTATTATCCATTATTCTATTATCAGCCGATCAGGAAATAATAATCCGTTAGTGGGCATGACCTAATTCTTTATTTCGGTTTATGGAAACAAACACTCAAAACTGCATGGTTAGCCAATCAAATGCCATATAATCACCATTGATTTCTAATGTGATCAACACACTATTTGACTGAGTACAACACTGATGTCTGTTTCAGGGTCCAGTGATGTCCATGTACAACACTGTTGTCTGTTTCAGGGTCCAGTGATGTCCATGTACAACACTGATGTCTGTTTCAGGGTCCAGTGATGTCACTGTACAACACTGTTGTCTGTTTCAGGGTCCAGTGATGTCCATGTACAACACTGTTGTCTGTTTCAGGGTCCAGAGTGATGTCCCTGTACAACACTGTTGTCTGTTTCAGGGTCCAGTGATGTCCCTGTACAACACTGTTGTCTGTTTCAGGGTCCAGTGATGTCCATGTACAACACTGTTGTCTGTTTCAGGGTCCAGTGATGTCCATGTACAACACTGTTGTCCGTTTCAGGGTCCAGTGATGTCCATGTACAACACTGTTGTCTGTTTCAGGGTCCAGTGATGTCCATGTAAAACACTGTTGTCTGTTTCAGGGTACAGAGAGTGATGTCACTGTACAACACTGTTGTCTGTTTCAGGGTCCAGTGATGTCCCTGTACAACACTGTTGTCTGTTTCAGGGTCCAGAGTGATTTCACTGTACAACACTGTTGTCTGTTTCAGGGTCCAGAGTGATGTCCCTGTACAACACTGTTGTCTGTTTCAGGGTCCAGTGATATCCATGTACAACACTGTTGTCTGTTTCAGGGTCCAGTGATGTCCCTGTACAACACTGTTGTCTGTTTCAGGGTCCAGTGATGTCCCTGTACAACGCTGTTGTCTGTTTCAGGGTCCAGTGATGTCCATGTACAACACTGTTGTCTGTTTCAGGGTCCAGTAATGTCCCTGTACAACACTGTTGTCTGTTTCAGGGTTCAGTGATATCCCTGTACAACACTGTTGTCTGTTTCAGGGTCCAGTGATGTCCCTGTACAACACTGTTGTCTGTTTCAGGGTCCAGTGATGTCCCTGTACAACGCTGTTGTCTGTTTCAGGGTCCAGTGATGTCCATGTACAACACTGATGTCTGTTTCAGGGTCCAGTGATGTCCCTGTACAACACTGTTGTCTGTTTCAGGGTCCAGTGATGTCCCTGTACAACACTGTTGTCCGTTTCAGGGTCCAGTGATGTCCATGTACAACACTGTTGTCTGTTTCAGGGTCCAGTGATGTCCATGTAAAACACTGTTGTCTGTTTCAGGGTACAGAGAGTGATGTCACTGTACAACACTGTTGTCTGTTTCAGGGTCCAGTGATGTCCCTGTACAACACTGTTGTCTGTTTCAGGGTCCAGAGTGATTTCACTGTACAACACTGTTGTCTGTTTCAAGGTCCAGAGTGATGTCACTGTACAACACTGTTGTCTGTTTCAGGGTCCAGAGTGATGTCCATGTACAACACTGTTGTCTGTTTCAGGGTCCAGTGATGTCCCTGTACAACACTGTTGTCTGATTCAGGGTCCAGTGATGTCACTGTACAACACTGTTGTCTGTTTCAGGGTCCAGAGTGATGTCCCTGTACAACACTGTTGTCTGTTTCAGGGTCCAGAGTGATGTCCCTGTACAACACTGTTGTCTGTTTCAGGGTCCAGAGTGATGTCACTCTACAACACTGTTGTCTGTTTCAGGGTCCAGTGATGTCCCTGTAGAACACTGTTGTCTGTTTCAGGGTACAGAGTGATGTCCATGTACAACACTGTTGTCTGTTTCAGGGTCCAGTGATGTCCCTGTACAACACTGTTGTCTGTTTCAGGGTCCAGTGATGTCCCTGTAGAACACCGTTGTCTGTTTCAGGGTACAGAGTGATGTCCATGTACAACACTGTTGTCTGTTTAAGGGTCCAGTGATGTCCCTGTACAACACTGTTGTCTGTTTCAGGGTCCAGAGTGATTTCACTGTACAACACTTTTGTCTGTTTCAGGGTACAGAGTGATGTCACTGTACAACACTGTTGTCTGTTTCAGGGTCCAGAGTGATGTCACTGTACAACACTGTTGTCTGTTTCAGGGTCCAGAGTGATGTCACTGTACAACACTGTTGTCTGTTTCAGGGTCCAGAGTGATGTCACTGTACAACACTGTTGTCTGTTTCAGGGTCCAGAGTGATGTCCATGTACAACACTGTTGTCTGATTCAGGGTCCAGAGTGATGTCCCTGTACAACACTTTTGTCTGTTTCAGGGTACAGAGTGATGTCACTGTACAACACTGTTGTCTGTTTCAGGGTACAGAGTGATGTCACTGTACAACACTGTTGTCTGTTTCAGGGTACAGAGTGATGTCCATGTACAACACTGTTGTCTCTTTCAGGGTCCAGTGATGTCCCTGTACAACACTGTTGTCTGTTTCAGGGTCCAGAGTGATGTCACTGTACAACACTGTTGTCTGTTTCAGGGTCCAGAGTGATGTCACTGTACAACACTGTTGTCTGTTTCAGGGTCCAGAGTGATGTCCATGTACAACACTGTTGTCTGATTCAGGGTCCAGAGTGATGTCCATGTACAACACTGTTGTCTGTTTCAGGGTCCAGAGTGATGTCACTGTACTACACTGTTGTCTGTTTCAGGGTCCAGAGTGATGTCCATGTACAACACTGTTGTCTGATTCAGGGTCCAGAGTGATGTCACTGTACAACACTGTTGTCTGTTTCAGGGTCCAGAGTGATGTCACTGTACAACACTGTTGTCTGTTTCAGGGTCTAGTAATGTCACTCTACAACACTGTTGTCTGTTTCAGGGTCCAGTGATGTTACTGTACAACTCTGTTGTCTGTTTCAGGGTCCAGAGTGATGTCACTGTACAACACTGTTGTCTGTTTCAGGGTCCAGAGTGATGTCACTGTACAACACTGTTGTCTGTTTCAGGGTCCAGTGATGTCCCTGTACAACACTGTTGTCTGTTTCAGGGTCCAGTGATGTCCCTGTACAACACTGTTGTCTGTTTCAGGGTACAGAGTGAAGTCCCTGTACAACACTGTTGTCTGTTTCAGGGTACAGAGTGATGTCACTCTACAACACTGTTGTCTGTTTCAGGGTCTAGTAATGTCACTCTACAACACTGTTGTCTGTTTCAGGGTCCAGAGTGATTTCACTGTACAACTCTGTTGTCTGTTTCAGGGTCCAGAGTGATGTCACTGTACAACACTGTTGTCTGTTTCAGGGTCCAGAGTGATGTCACTGTACAACACTGTTGTCTGTTTCAGGGTCCAGTGATGTCCCTGTACAACACTGTTGTCTGTTTCAGGGTCCAGTGATGTCCCTGTACAACACTGTTGTCTGTTTCAGGGTACAGAGTGAAGTCCCTGTACAACACTGTTGTCTGTTTCAGGGTACAGAGTGATGTCACTCTACAACACTGTTGTCTGTTTCAGGGTCTAGTAATGTCACTCTACAACACTGTTGTCTGTTTCAGGGTCCAGTGATGTCCATGTACAACACTGTTGTCTGTTTCAGGGTCCAGAGTGATGTCACTGTACTACACTGTTGTCTGATTCAGGGTCCAGAGTGATGTCCATGTACAACACTGTTGTCTGTTTCAGGGTCCAGAGTGATGTCACTGTACTACACTGTTGTCTGTTTCAGGGTCCAGAGTGATGTCACTGTACTACACTGTTGTCTGTTTCAGGGTCCAGAGTGATGTCCATGTACAACTCTGTTGTCTGTGTCAGGGTCCAGTGATGTCCCTGTACAACACTGTTGTCTGTGTCAGGGTCCAGAGTGATGTCACTCTACAACACTGTTGTCTGTGTCAGGGTCCAGAGTGATGTCACTGTACAACACTGTTGTCTGTTTCAGGGTCCAAAGTGATGTCCCTGTACAACACTGTTGTCTGTGTCAGGGTCCAGTGATGTCACTGTACAACACTGTTTTTCTGTTTCAGGGTCCAGACTGCTGCAGCCAATTTTCCATCAGCTTCCACTACGTCTCGTCCCACATGATGTACATCATCGACTTCCTCCTCTACAGGGTCTCCATCTATGGGAACTACGACTTGCCAAAAGAACAACTTCAGGATATTTTCACAAAAAAGACCTCCAAGATAAAACATCAAACTGAAGACGAGGTGTTTCCTGTACGTCACTATTTTGCTGCTCCAAACTTCGTGCCACAGGAGCATCCGGAATATAACCACCAACGGACATGATCAACACACCCTGACCCCTCCCTACCCCACACACGCCTCCAGGATAATTGGATTCAGGGTCAGAGTGTCCGCAGGGTCCGCAGGGTCCGCAGGGTCCGCAGTATGTGAGTGGTCATGCTCATACAGATTGTTGATTGCATGTCATTGTACCTTGCTCATAATGTCAATCACTGGTTTGTCTGGCATAAAGTTGACCATTTACAGGCCACTGTCTCATGATATTGTGGAATGTGGCTTTGAGATAACAACAAACAACAGCAAATGTTTGCATTCACGATTGAAAAGGGAAAATGTAATTTAGTCTAATCCCATCCCAAACCACCCAGCCCCAGCCCCATCCCCCCACAAACCACCCCACTCTGTCCCATCCCCTTTCACCCACCCCCACTCTGTCGCAGCCCCCTGCACCCACCCAAACCCATCCCCCCCCACAAACCAACCCCATCCCCCGAAAAACAACCCCAACCATCCCCTTCCCCCCACAAACCGACCCCGCTCAGCCCAATCCCCCCACAAACCACCCCCACTCAGCCCCATCCCCCCACAAACCACCCCCACTCAGCCCCATCCCCCCCACAAACCACCCCCACTCAGCCCCATCCCCCCCACAAACCACCCCCACTCAGCCCCATCCCCCCCACAAACCACCCCCACTCAGCCCAATCCCCCCCACAAACCACCCCATCCCCCCCACAAACCACCCCAGCTCAGCCCCACCCACCCCACAAACCACCCCCACTCAGCCCCACCCACCCCACAAACCACCCCCACTCAGCCCAATCCCCCCCACAAACCACCCCATCCCCCCCACAAACCACCCCAGCTCAGCCCCACCCACCCCACAAACCACCCCCACTCAGCCCCATCCCCCCACAAACCACCCCCACTCAGCCCCATCCCCCCACAAACCACCCCCACTCAGCCCCATCCCCCCACAAACCACCCCCACTCAGCCCCATCTCCCCAGACCCACCCAACCCAACCCCCCCACAAACCACCCCCACTCAGCCCCATCCCTCCACAAACCACCCCAACCCATCCCCATCCCCCCCACAAACCACCCCCACTCAGCCCTATCCCCCCCACAAACCACCCCCACTCAGCCCCATTCCCCCACCCTCACTCTGTCACTCTCTCAAAGGTCATTAATCAGGAACACCAATATTTTATTCATATTCATTCCAGAGATTTAGGGTCATATTTATATTATTGTTTGTTATTTATTTTAGCTTTACAACTATTGTAAGACTGTGTTAAGGTATTGGAGAATCGGCAGTGCAGCACTAACATCTCTTTGTGAAACTGGCCCAAGAGCACACGAGCACAAATCGATCCTAATGCTGCTACCATTGTAAGTCGGTTATAGTGCTGGGGATATGACGGTGTAGCACTAAGATTGCTTTGTCACAGTTCTTAACACTGAACAGGGTGTAAACAGTAGCTCTGAATGGTGAATGCAGGAACAACTGGTAGTTCCAGCTGTAGTGAATGTTCTACCTTCCCTTGAAGTGTCATTGGCACTTAACATGGAGGATGTATGTATGCAAGATATATGTATTTTTAAATTGTTGCTTAAGATCTTGTTTTTTTTAAATATCATCACAAGCAACATATTGTAATTGTTGCTATTATTAGTTTTGCTTTTCATTTTGCTTCGTAGGATAGACGATTTGTAACTTATACAAAGTAGATTTTACGGCACTTCCATCCTGGGCCCGTTCCACAAAGTGATCGAAGCGCTGCAACTGTTACTAGTACATGTTATAGTATAGGAGTCTTACCCCCAAGCGCTACGATAGCTTTGTTGAACTGGGCCCAGATCTCAAAACACCTCATTACATCGAGTGGTATTATAGCCTATGCAGTGTTTGAAAATTTAGCAAAAATTAAAATTGTGAGGATTCCTGGTTTCAACTGGTCCACAGCAAGCGATGTTGGTTCGGGCAGAGACCATATACCGATGGTATACTGGTATATGGTCTCTGGTTCGGGCAATCAGTGACGTGATTCGCTGATATGAGTTTATGCATCCTTTGTCTGGTCTTGAAACCCCAGGAAGTGTACAACTTGCGAGGTGTCCTCCTCTTTGGTGTCCTCAGCCATAATATTGCTGTGTTCGAGAAACACATGTTCATGTATACACCCGTGAAAATCCGGGGTAGAATAGGTCTTCAGCAACCCATACTTGCCGTAAAAAGGCGACTATGCTTGTCGTAAAGACGTCTTTGCTTGTCGTAAAAGGCGACTAACGGGATCGGGTGGTCAGGCTCGCCTGACTTGGTTGAAGCATGTCATCAATCCCAATTGCGTGGATCTATGCTCATGACATTAATCACTGGATTGTCTGGTCCAGACTCGATTATTTACAGACCGCCGTCATATAGCTGGGATATTGCTGAGTACGGCGTTAAACAACAAACCAACCAACCAACATGTTCTCGTTCCCTGTTCACATACACACACAGTATTATTTACGTGATTTGTCTCCAATCAAACTTATGTGTTGGCATGTTCATGTTTAACACATGGCTATGACAATCAGAAAAGATGTACTTGTCTGTTATTTATATTTCAAATTTTTAAATTACTTTGTATGCAAGTAGAGGCACATGTTACCCAGTAATTTGTACAGAGTTGCTTCCCTTAAGCATGCCAGGAACCTATGATTTTGAGGTCAGTTTTCCCTGATTATGTTTCCAGATTTGTCAGCACCACACCGTTGTTTTCTCATGGGTTTCATCAAAGTGGTGACGTCTGAGACCTGCATGGCTTGGGGCTTTCCAACCACATCAAGCTGACATGCTTTAATATAACTGAATATGCTTGTCGTAAGAGGCGACTAACCGGATCGGTTGGTCAGGCTTGCTGACTTGGTTGATGCATGTCATCGTATCCCAATTGCGTGGATCGATGCTCATCATGTCAATCACTGGATTGTCTGGTCCAGACAACAAAATAAACAAACAAATAATATAACTGAAACAAAAATCCAAAAATCCATTCTTAGTCGCCCACTCCCTTGTACAAAAGTATTTTTTCCAAAACCTATGGACAAAATCGAGCTTAGAAAAGAATTGAAAAATAACATGTATTTTTAAGTTGTCCCCCTTACCTGAGTCAGGATGCTCTGATCGCGAGTCAGCATCATACCATTCCTCGTGTGATTTAACAATGTGGCACACATCTACGACATTCCTCAAAGGCTGTGATACAACTGAAACACTGTCTTAACAGTTTAAACAAAAACAACTTGTTCTACATAACTCCAAATCACAAGGTAAATGATCCATCGAAACAGAAGCGGCGAGGTAGCCTTGTGACAGCACTAGCTCGTCACGCTGCAGGCCTAGGTTCGATTCCCCAAATGGGAACGCTCATTGTAACCCCATTAATGATGTGCCGCGCCCTGATATTGCTGGATTATTGTTAAAGGTGGTGATGAACCTTCATTCCCAAATATGTTGTCTTACATGATTTCTCAAAGATGTATACCATTCTTGATTGAGTATGGTTTTACGCTGCTTTAGCATTATACAATGAATGTCATGGCTTGGGGCACCAGAAATGAGCTTCACACATTGTACCCATGTTGGTAATCAAACCAGGGTCTTCCGCGTGAGGGGAGACGGGGTAGCCTAGTGGTTAAAGCGTTCGCCCGTCACGCCGAAGACCCGGGTTCGAATCCCCACATGGGTACAATGTGTGAAGCCCATTTCCTGTGTCCCCCGCCGTGATATTGCTGGAATAGTGTTAAAAGCGGCGTAAAACCATACTCACTCACGTTTCGGCGTAACCAGCAACGTTTTAACCACTCGGCCACGCCACCGCCCTGAATACCAATGTTGAAGTATACTACTTCAAAGAAGTCAAAGCACAGCTGATTCTTTCATATTATTAGTGTTCTTTAACCTCTTTCGACTAGTAGTGAGTGAGTTTGGTTTTACGCCGCTTTGAGCAATATTCCAGCAATATCACGGCGGGGGACACCAGAAATGGGCTTCACACATTGTACCCATGTCGGGATTCGAACCCGGGTCTTCGGCGTGACGAGCGAACGCTTTAACCACTAGGCTACCCGACCGCCCCTTTTCGACTAGTATATATCCTAACGTAGAATACTCAAGGTGAAATACCAAATGTCGAATGAGTTCTTGTCATGACATTTATGTTTGAAAATGATACAGTTTGGTAAATATGTTTATAATCGTTTCGGGTATCACATTGTTTTCCAGAGTTTATATGCACGTGTAAACCAGTGTGCCCAGATAATTAGTATTCATGAATAAATATATGCCTGCTTCTGTATTGTGTCACGTGTGTCGAGTTTCAAGCTTCCTTGGATGACCTGCTGCCGCTGATGCTACTGTTGCTGCCACCACGCCTCCGTGGGGATGCCGGTTTAGAATTGGCACCCACAATCTATGAAGGGTTACGTTGTACAGAGTGATCATAGTTTGATCGTTCGTAAGTCCCTTACTTTACCATATGAACTCTCTCTCTCTCTCTCGCTCTCTCTCTCTCTCACACACACACTTTACCATATGAACTCCTCTCTCTCTCTCTCACACACACACACACACACACACACACTTTACCATATGAACTCTCTCTCTCACACACACACACACACTTTACCATATGAACTCTCTCTCTCTCTCTCTCTCTCACACACACACACACTTTACCATATGAACTCCTCTCTTTCACTCACACACACACACTTACTTTACCATATGAACTCCTCTCACACACACACACACACACACACACACTTTACCATATGAACTCTCTCTCTCTCTCTCTCTCTCTCTCTCTCTCTCTCTCTCTCTCTCACACACACACACACACACACACACACACACACACACACTCTGGGGTGACGATTTTCCGTATCTTTTTTTTATTGTCGTATTCACGCCTTTTCCGTTTTTCAAATTTCATTTCGGTCAAGCATTTCTGATTAAGTATGTCCTAACGTATGAAAATATGTAAAGTTGTTATATTGACTCGTATACACGTGGCTGTTATGAACAGACGACCAAAACAAACTTTACCATAGCTTTAACTCACTCTAGTTTAAAATCCACAAAAGATAGATACATGAAGTAAAATGTTTTGAAAAGATAAAAAGCTCAACGAAATCAACAATCAAAATGACAGTCATACACCATCCGATATTGTCATGACAGTTGCCCGAATTCAGGTGGCGTAGCAAAAACAAGCTTTCAACCTTATGGACAAAGGCCACACACACACACACATCTAAAATCACTAAAGTTCAATAACAAGTCACAAGAATAGCGAGTGTGACCACGCGCCGCTTCAGTCGGGCTGTATGGTGAGTGAGTGAGTTGGGTTTAACGCCGCTTTTAACAGTATTCCAGTTATATCGCGGCGTGTCAGCTT